TGCCCTAGGCAAAGCATAGACACCACCCTAAAAAAATATACTTTTGATTTAAAATTTATAAATCGCTTTATTTTGGAAATCAAATCTGCCATTTAATACGACTGAAATAGTCATTTTTAAGCTTGTCTGCTTTTTGTCTAAAAATTGGCCTTGTATATTAATGAGCCCATTGGCACTATAAATTTGAAAGATGCTTAAAATGTCAAGACGATAACTAAAAACGCCAGTCGCCCAACGTTTATTCAGAATAATTACAACAAACTTGGCGTGACGTAACTTCATAGCATCGCTATACTGTGCTTACATGGCGAACACTCATATGATATGCCATGCAGTATACATTTAGTATATACTTTTGTATTTTGCAATATTTCAATAAAAGCATTAAAACTTACATCTATTTCCATTGTTATTTTAAAGACATTCAATAGCTTATAATTATCAAGCTCGGAAGTCGCTTCAAAAGCGGCAGGGCTGTCATTTCAGTCAGCTATTTTTAGTAATACACGTGCTACAATGCCGTGTATCCTTTTATTTTTCTCATTAACACTTATACCCAGTTTCTCAGCGGGCCTCCGTCACATATCTCGGATTCATGCAAAGTAGTTTGTTGTTATTTGCGAGAAAACACTAGTTTGGTTATCTTCCCGCCGCTATAAGACTCACTTTCGTAAAGCGGTGTAAGACAGTTATGAAGACAAAACATAACTTTGACTTAAGTTTCATGTTTAATTAGATATTTTAAAGTGTAGTGTTGCATTATAAACGATAGTGGGTATTAATAAAAACAGAGTTTCGTCAGATTATCGAACCAGAAATTACTTGCACCCAAAGCGAGTATCCTACATCTGTGCCGCTAGCAAATCTTGGCAAAGCATTGAAAGGTTCTTTCCCTTCCCGGCATTTGAAATCGCCCGTGTTTGTTTCAAACTCAAACTGTACCATGCAACATTAATAAACAAGATAGATTAAGATGAAAACAAATTTAAGTCGTGGTAATACACGGTTCAAGTTTTATATATGATATAGACGACAGACCTAAAATGTCATGCTTTCAAATTCGTCCGAAATATTCATAGCTTTCCGTTGTAATGACAGGACATGCCTTTTTTTTATAAATAGCAACGATATCCCGTTGAATCTTTGCAATAAACAACAGAAATGGTAACTGAAATAAGTTTTATTTTATTGTACTTTATTTCAAGAAATAAACGATGAATGATCTTTAAATTAAGTAAACATTTTCCTGCCCAACATAAATATGATGTTGCCTATCTCGGAGGAATTGTTAGTTTGAGTCTGAACTTGGCATTATGAAGTGATTTAAAAGAAGATTGGGAGAGTTTCTGATTAGTCCGAGTGCTATATCACAATTTAACGGTATCTAACGTTTAATTGGAATATAACCAATCGAAAAAATTGGTCCCATTTTTATCAAATGTTAACGACTCATCATGTCTCATCGTCTTTACATCAAATTTAAATGTTGAAATGTTGGCAGGGTCATTTCTCGATGTTGAAAATGGCCAAGAGTTAATTCTCAACGCATGCGTCATTGATCTACGTGGTCAAAATTTGATGTTACACCGGCGTTCATATTTCATACGTCTTTATTTCGTTAAAATTAAATAAAGAAACGTTACTACTGTTGGAATGGATATATCATGCAATATGTTGCGCACTATGAATACATACACTGTTTCCTCGAGGTGTGAAGATGCCAGGATTGCTTCTAATGTTTCCAAAAGGATTTAAGCCTGACTGGTCCTGAAATACGAAAACATAAATACACTGTATTCCCCAGGTGAAATAATGGTCACAATTTCCTGAGAACTTTAATACTGACGTCATACGCTTCCCGATACATTCAACATTTGCATTTCTTGCTAAATTTCCAGCAGAAGAGAACAAGCTTTTGATTGATCGAACCTTAACTAATCGAACCTTAACTTTTAAAAAAATATGTACTAAAGTAGAAATATTTTAATTCAAGAAATAATATATGTACATACATTGCATTGTCCATATGTTAATTGACCGGGGTTTCCATAAGTGCTTGGTCCAGCAGAGCCCTATAATATCCAAACATTACTGGTGATTACAAATGAACAGATTATGACTAATACAAACATTTAATTGGTTTAATCTAACATTTTGTTTACTGTATTTAGCATGTCAAGCATTTTTATTAAATAATGTTTTCACAAAGGAATGACACATTCGTACATATCATATTACTTTCCGAAAGGGCGTACATATGAACTGAAAATACATGACATCTGTCGATACCACATGCAATACAAATACTATACATACATAATTTCCTCTTGGTGTGGAACGGCTTCCATACGGATCCTGAAATTATCCAGTATCGATATTTACTATTTTTGATTATTAACAGAGAAACATAGAAAAAGCTTAAAAAAATTTCTAACCTAAAATTGTATTGACGGATTATAGCATGACAGACAATTTCAAAAGAGTAATTGTGTACATTGTATATTTCACTTTTCATTTTTTTTTACAGACAGGACTATTTTTTGAAAATGTATTTTGCTACATGCACTGCAATAAATATATACACAAACACTGTATCCTCCATGAATGAAAGGAATTCCGGACGTATTTGAGTCATAATAAGCCATAAATAAAATGCAGTTGATTGCTTACAAAACTGGAAAACAGAACAAGCTTTTGGTTTGTCTAACCAGAATATCATATTTACAGATTGAGGCATAACACATAACTTCGCATAATTTCAGAATCTCTTTACTAAATCTAATGTTGAATTAATTGTAAGTTACTATTTGAATGTTCATGTATTTTCGCTGAAAATTTAAAGCTACTACTTTTATCGTAAATATATTAGGTAAGATAGTTCGATATGTATACATACACTGGGTCCTCCAAGTGTTAAAGCGTCAAAGTGTTGCAACGGGTTTGAGCTGTATTGATCCTGAAATATCACAGCATTGCATAATTTGTTTTCTTTATAAACTAAGAAGAACAGAAAATACTTCAAATTGGTCTTCCTTAGCCTATATTTAAATCTTTTTGCAATAACGCTTAATGATAAATGATGCTCACGCAAAGAAATATCAAAGTACACTGTCTGTTTTGATAAGCATGCATTTTGCTACATCTAATACAATTTGTGTATACAAACTGCGTTCTCCATAATTTATTATGTTACACGACCAGGATTTCCATAAGAGTACTAGGCATCGTTTTACTGAACAGAGGTGACCAAACAAACTTTTTATTATTCTACACAGGCCTTAAATTTACATATACTTTCTTGAATTCAGTATACATATGCACATTCTCTATAAATTTAGCGATCAGTATTTTCAAAACAAAGCCTTGAAATATCTAAAACTGTATTAAATACTTATAATTTATGAACAAAGTACGACCAAACAAGTTCATAATAATTTTATCACTATTCCAATCATAAAAACGCAAAATCACTAATTGGAATTTAGAATATTACTGTCATAACTTCTTCGAATATGCATATATCTTGAAACATATATAGCAATTGGTATACATACACTGTGTCCTATAGGTGTAACAGGTCCAGGGTTTCCAACAGTGTTGAAGTCATACCGACTCTGAAATTCCACAACTTTGAATTTACTATAAATTACTGATAGATAAGCAAATATGAAAACCTTTTTAGGTTTGGTAACCAACATTATAATTTCAGAAATATGCATGACACGTACTTTTGACATTATGTATTAGCATATTGATCAAATAAATATGCATACATTGTTTGTTTGTTTGTTACTTTGAATGTACTTGTATATTCATTGAAAGGATATGGTTACTTTCAATTTAAGTTTATCATACCCTAGTATGTCTACATGCACTGTGTCCTACAAGTTTTGAATGTTCAAGAAATCCTATACTGTACATTGCATTTACTTTGCAAGCTTTCAATGTATCTTTCCTTTTTAATATGTTCACACCGATGAAAAAAAAAGTAAAATAAAACGGTCTGCTTAACTACTCGACATGTAAATCATGTCACAAAGTGACTTGTTAAAGAGACTCATCCATACATTTGTCTGTCAGTTTCTTATTTTATTACAATGTATTATAATCAAAATCAATAGTTAGAAAAAATAAAAGAATTTTTATAGATGTACACAAAAGAAACAGTAAATCAAAGATACTACGAACCCTTTGGTCTGTAGGGGCTGTAAAAATAATAATAATAATAATAATAATAATTATAATAATGATAAAAATAATTATAATAAAATAATAATAATAGTAATAATGATTATAGTAATAATAATAATAATAATAAATAATAATAATAATAATTATAATAACATATTGTCTATTTCAATTAAAAATATAAATGCAAAAACCACATGTTCTACCAACATGTTCTTTATACCAATGGATAATATATTATATAGATGGGTAATTGGCTTCTGCTACGAATTTAATATAGAACTAAAACCTATTTCAAAATTATTTATATTTTATGTAAAGAATTGATTTAAGATCTGCATGGTTATAATATTAAAAGATCTGTTCCAAAAAATAACTGACTAAGATTAGATTCTCATTCAAGGTCTTGAACAAAGTTATATAGCTAAAAAGCAAACGTTGAATAGTCATACCTGGACCGAATTGTTGAAAATTTGATCCTTGCATAGGTGGTCCTATACTTAAAGCTTGAGAATGCGAGCTGAAAAATGTGCAAAAAAGCTAATTCATGTTTTCTGAGATTCTGACAGGTACCCGAAGAAAATTCACTTAGAATCGCCCACTGTTTTCTCGTTTAGTGCAGACACATTCGTTTACTTACAGGGGACCATACGCAGCTTTTCATGGGTTGGAACGGAAGTGTCAAATTTTGGAGGTTCCATGATGACCTTAGTGCAATTTCATGAAAAAGTATTGGGGTGTATGGCCCCGAAATAAAAGTTGGCTTGTGTCCTAAACCGTCGGAATGAAATATAATTTTGAAAAGGGAACAGCGTTTATAATGTCTGCATATCATAGAAAAGACGTCAATAGACAAATTTAATGAGCATGCAACATATTATGCGGGTGATTTTATAGTATTCAAGTCGGAATATTTTAACCAGACCAGAAAGAAATAACTGTCAATACAAGAATGAAACAACAACAACAACAACAACATAGAAAAACGCGCAACAATTCTCGTGCAGAAATATCTTGAAGGATCGAAAATATAACATTACTGATTAAACGTACGGGAAGACCTTTTATGACCTCCTCATGACACAAAATACGCTGATGTGACACTTAAAACAAGATCTCCGAAACAGTCAAAATGTTGCACGCTCGGTTTGAGTGAGTCTGGTCATGAACGGAAGTTGTAATTGCAAGCTTCCTTAACCCCCCACAGGCTTTAACAGTTTTCAACATTTGAACATGCAAAAAGGTAAAATTTCGAATTTAAAATCATCTGTAGATCTGTAGTCTTTTAAGAAAATATCAAATAAAGAATTACCTCCTAAGTCAGCTCTGTGCCTAATGCAAAATTTAAACAAAATTCTGAGAAAAAAACGATCACGTTTCCTAGTACCGGTTTTTGTGCTGTGTGCAGGAGGCCGTAAAAAGTTGCCCCGTAAATATAATCAAAGACGTTTAGCACGACAAAAGTGTTGTGTGTGCATTTTGTGGTATTTTAAGTTCTTTTGTTCTGTTGGACCATTCCAATAAACCGCATGAGCAAACCTTTGGATGTTTCTAAATTAAAAAGACTTACAATTTTCCATGTTTAAATATAAAGTTCTGATAATGCCGGTGCTAGGGGCGTGGACGGTAACATTTACTTTTCAGTAACGTCAACGAACAGACCCAATGTTACCGAGCCTGAAACAATTTCAATTTCGTCTTTGTTTTGGAGTTCTTTAGGGATGCCGTTTTCTCTACTTTAAGAAAATTTGAACATTCAAATACAGAAAGAAATCCCGATACCTTTTTATGCGTACCTTGATAATTTCCAGTCATATCTAGAGACAAATATCTAGAGACAAACGGTGCCGTCGGCAATGAAATAGACGAGCAACTGACACTGAACACTGCCACATAAAGTAATTAAATTATAAATGATAAACTAATTTCCCTAATTCAAAAACCTTTGCACGGTTAAAAAATTAACCTCTTAGCATGTAATTCTTACAAAGTTTTTTTTTAACTAAATGTATTGTGAAGCATTATACTATGTGGACCTGTGACGAAGTTTGTAGAGCACTATCTTTTCTTTGAGCAAACTTTTATATCATGTTTGGTAATACCCTATGTAAACAGATCATAGTTATTCTTATGGGTACTAATTGTGCACCCCTGGTCGCCGATTTGTTTTTGTATTGCTATGAAAGAGACTTTATGTTGAAGATACGCAACAAGATTTATAGTAGCCTTTAATCATTTCAAGATACCTTGATGATATTTTTAATTTAGCTAATTCTTTTTTTTATCAAATGGTGTCTGATATTTATCACTAAGAGCTACAACTAAATAAAATGAATTCTTGAAACTTTTGTACAGCATTTGTACATCTTCATATTACTCTCAACAACAATTCTATTCTCACGAAAATCTATGATAAAGTGATGACTTTGATTTTTTCATAGCTAGTTATCCACATTTTGATGGAGACGTACCCCTGCAACATCTTACGGGTATGTGTTTCTCAGCTTATTGGATTCGTTAGAGCTTGTAGCAACGTAAAGGATTTCAACGAGCGCAATAATTTAATTAGTAGCAAGCTTCTAAAGCGGGGCTACCGCTAACATTGATTATCGAAATATTTTACGTAATTTTGATTTAATTTCAAAATTCAATAGTGATTTAAAAACACTTCTGGGACAAGGGATCAGCCAGCCCGATTTTTATTGGGATGTGATTTACAAACGTCGTAAGATCGTTGGTCATGGTAATTTTTCTGTTGTTTTAACTAAAACCATTAAACGTTTATTAAAAGAGGTTATGACACTATGACACTACTATTTTAAGACACACCGCATGCTTAGTGTTCAACCCGTTTACAGGTGGACACTACGCTGTCCTCTTTTGATTACATCTGACTGACCAAGTGGGAGACTCTATGATGGACAGTTCTTAAAACCCGTTGGGACTAAATTGTCTGAATGTTCGCCTCCTATCTTGCTTCGTCGGGCCCTTGTAGATGATTTTCTTGTTGCTCGATCTTCTTTTAAGACTTTGAATACTTTTATTACGGTCAATGGGTTCACTTGTATATATATATATATATATATATATATATATATATATATATATATATATATATATATATATATATATATATATATATATATATATATATATATATATATATATATATATATATATATATCTGTGCTTTACTTATTTCACCTATTGTAACCAAGACAACTGATAGAACTTCACTTGGTGGAGATTCATTTTATTTACAATGTCTCGTTTTAAAGGAAAATGGTGGGGCTAAAAGTGAGGTTTGGTTCACCATTCACCGGTTTAAACTTATGCTTATGTTGCTGACCGTTATAACGCAGCGGCCCTCTTTGTTCCTCAGATGTATGTCTTTGTTGTTTCATACTGTTTGGTGACATTTTTGTTTGCGTCCATTGTTGTTTTCTCGTCAACGGTAAGTATCGTCCCTTCTGCCCCATTTGTTTTGTTTTTTTTAAATTTACCCATCCCCTCCTCGATTCTCGAGTCCCCTTCCCCTGTGCCATTTTTCTTTGTGGGCGTATTGATTAATCAATTATTTGTTTTCTTTAATCACATGTCGGTTACTTTTATTTTATTTCATTTTAAGTATCAATTAAGTGAATATTTTGTCCGTGCTCTCCCTTGCGCATTGTCCTATTTTTGGTTGGGCCCTCCTGGACCCCTCGTCGCTGGTTCTTGTTGATGGGTCGTGTGGGGGTTGTGTTCATTGAACGCCGCCTTTCCTTATTGATCTTGTTTATCATATCTAATACGTGATTGAAGAAGTCATTTGAGTTTAAAAGTTATTTTGAATTCCTCACGAAATAATTCATTTCACCTTTTTTAAATGTAGAACATTTAAGATAAGCCGTTTAAACTGGACAGCATACGTTGGTAGCACATGCATGTAGACCCTTCAATTCTTTACTTATTGGTTCAGAACAGAATCATCTCCTTAGTTAAAGCTATTTCCATCATGAGAGACAAAAACAATATTTTAAATGGAGAGACTGTTATCATGGTTATATATGTAAGTGCTTTGTAATTTTAAGAAATGTTCTTAGGAAGTTTGAGAATCGCCTCGATAGCATTCATACTCTGTATAAAGGCTGTGGATACGCCATATTTTGTATTTAAGCTTGTACTACATGTATGTTAAAGTAACGCAAGTGTACGTGGTTATTATATACAGACTATTGTTTCAACATTTCACAAGTAAACTGTTTTGCAAAAGTTCTCAATTGGAAACTAAACTCTATTTTTGTTTGGAGACCAGTTATGTTTTAAACAATCGTTTAAGAAGACCATTTGCTGGTTATTTATGCGTACTGTCATGGGAATATACCGATTGGTAATAGGAGATGTTATTTTTCAGCTTATTTTCTTGTCCCGCTTAGACTGCGATCATGTACATCATGTGGATTACCTCAGCCGTTTTTGTAAAGGACAATCTAACACGCATTTATTGTGAAATTTAGAATTTATTTTCGATAAAATGTTTAAGATATCAGAAAATATTCAATCTTGTTTTTTATCAACTTGCGGGATCCAATGTCAAACATATTTGCAGAGGATCATCACTGAAAACTTCCATGTAGCCTTACGATAATTGGTAACGGGTACACCGTTAACAGACGTCGAACAACGGAGAAAAGCCGATCACAACACCATGCTCGGATGAAATTAAAAACTAAAGCAAATCATGATCTCAGTCAACATTTTATCATTTGGTACAGTTTTATTTAAATGTATATCATTTTCTTTGTTAGTTTCCTTCATGCTTTACCCTTTTAAGATGTTGTCAAATTAGCGATGCGTTCTCAGGATTCAAAATAACAAATTAAAAATGAAAACTGGAAAAGGGGAGAGAGCCTCGGTAGCAATAAAAACAACAATACTGACTGAAAATTCCAGACTAAGATTGATTCAGTCTGTACATGAAAGATAATGTCATAGTGCAACATCTCTCATGTCCCTAGCTAGCCCCAGCTAAGGCGAAATTGAATATTTAATAGTAACATACCCGGAGAAATTTAACAATTTTTACAGCTGCCATTCGACAATTTACACCTGCTGTAAAACATAAAAATGTGAAATTTGGGTTATCACGCGGAAGCAATAAAATTAACAATTATTTCTTTATTTGAAAAATACAGACCGTTTGATGAGAGATTTACTTTTTTACTATTGAATTTAGTATCTATAGGCGAACATAAGATATTTATAGCTTACCCATAGACTGGTCTCTGCTCGCGGTGAAAACTATAAACAAAGACATCATGAACTTAAACAAGCAATAAACTCATAACATGTTTTCTTTTTTCTTTTTTTAATTCTAAAATATGATCAAAATTTTACTACCACCAAACCAAAATTGTGGATATTGGGACGTTATTGTTAAGATTGAAAAGTTTATTTTATTTATGATCAGTTTAAATATTTTATAATGACAAATATAACATTTTTTATGAATCTGAAACAACACTATTTCATTCATTTGCTGTTTATCAATGACAGCTACAAAATAAATCAGCTATTAGAATAGTTACCTTACATATCAGAAAATAAGATATTTATAGCCTACCTTTCAACTGTTCTCTGTTCGCTGAAATAACCATTGCCGGAACTATAAAAATAAAAGGGAAATTAAACTAACCTAACAAATAATAAATCCACTTGTATACGCTAGTTTTTTACATCACTTTGATGAAATATTCAAAGCCCGTTATTGTTTATTCTATTTCGTATCTGTATATATTATAAAAATATATAACAATAAAGACGCGTCTTAATGCTTCTGAGGGATCACTTTGTTTACAGATTTTTATACTTATATACATTTGCACCAACACTATTCAAATCATTCGTTGCTACCAAAGATAAAACAAACTTTCCAAATTTCGGGCAAAATATCGACAGTTTCCATGTGTTGAAATTGTAAAAGAAAAAAACAGGCAGTAAGTAAAAATAAATGTGAGATACCTCTGAGATGTTTTTAAAGAGTAATCTTATCATTTGAAAGTGTAATATCATATTTTTATAATGTTATTTGTGAAATTATCAAATATAATTTCTATTCATCAATGAGAGATCCACCCAAAAAATCACATAAAAGAAATATCTAACATGTCAGAAACTAAAATATTTATAGCTTACCTCTGGACAACTCGTTGTTCTCTGATATATCTCTCAACATTTCCCGAACTATCAAAATACATATTATATTTTAGTTTATACCTGACTATTCGATTCATTAAAGTGTACAATGATATTTAATCTATATTTGCTGTCTTTGGATTGTTAACTTATACTAGTATACATGATTTGATAAAAAGACTTACATAAAATTATATGCAACTAAAACCAAACTGTTCTATTTATATTTTTTATTTACGAGAGCCACTATTCAAAGCCAAGAACAGAAAACACATTTTTATATCAGCCAACATATCCGATGGATGATCTGTCGTTAGAAACAAAAAAACAAAACAAACAAGCAATTATCAAAGTATTGCAAGCAATCCATAAGTCCCCTACCAGTAAGAGCCCAAGCAACATTCTGAAGGGTCATTGGCCATTCACTTATGTTTCTATTTTAAGTAAATTTGTTGTAAAAGTTCTTTAAAAGTGATCACAGGAAACAGATTTTATGTACAGACAGACAGACGGACTGAAGGACACTCTAAAGTTATTTTTTAAACATCCCTGTTATCAAAATATAACATTTTTAAAAGCAATTTTTTAAAAAGAGATGTCATACATGATGTGAGTGTAACAAAAAACAATTAGTAATGAAGGTATGAATATTGAATGTTTATTTTGAATTTGAAGTAAATGAAAGTTAAAAGAACGAATAGGAAAAATTAAAAGTTTAAGGAGGAGATAATTCTGGAAATATGGATGTTAGATTTGTAAACCTTGTCATATTATTATGATGTGGGAGTTTGAAGAAAACCCTATCATGATTGAAGAAGTTGGAGTAAAAATTACCAATTTCTCAAAAAAGGTCTAAGTTCAAAAGGGTCATAATTCTGGAAATAGTCTTGCTAGAGTATTGAACACTCACAAATGTTGAGTAATAATAAGAAACATTTATATGAAGTTTAATATATACATTCAGAAAAAAAGAAGTTATTTAAAAAAAAACAATGTTTTTTTCATGAAAATTCAAGGGAGGTTATTCTGATAAATTTTGTGCTAGAGTTGTAAACCTTGTCAGATATGATGTGGTTAATGTGGTTGATGACTAGCATTTAAAGTTTGAAGAAAATACCTTAAGAAATAAAGAACTTATAGTGAAAAAATTTAAAATCTAGAATCAGAAATCTTGAAATTCAGTCTATTTGTTGCCATAGTAACCAGAATTTTCAGCATAGGAAGATAAGAAAAGGATGTGCATAATTTCCATACTGCAATCTACCCATATGTCAAGTTTCATAAAAAATATTTTCAGTACTTATTGCGTTATCAATGGATCCAGGTTATGTGTAAAATTTGCCATATTTTCGGTCTATTTGTTGCCATAGCAACGAGAATTTTCAGCATAGGAAAAAAAGAAAAAGACGTGCATAATCTCCATACTGCATACAAGTTTCATAAAAATATTTTCAGTAATTTTTGCGTTATTGAGGGATCCAGTTTTGTGGACGGACGGACTGACGGACGGACCGACAGACGGACGGACGGATAGACGGACAGACGGACGGAGGGTAAACCTAAAGTCTCCTCCGGTAAACCGGTAGGGGACTTAAAACGAAAGTATGTCATGTATGAAGATCATGACTTTGGACAAATGTTATTCGATAAAATCTGCTTAGAATTTTCCAAAAACACTGCCTCTAGTGTTTAATTTATTGTGCCTTTATGTATAAATCTGCTTTATATAGTTTTCCTTTTCTGGTATGCTACAAAAAGTATAGTATAATCAATTTATGAATTAAAACATCGGGAACAAAAAAAAATAATTAATTAATTAATCAAAAAATATAAAAAATAACGGTTTAAATTTAGAAGGGTATATATAATAAGAATGACATCTCAACGATTTACTGTGTAATCCAACTAAGACACAATCACTGCGGATGATCACGTGACCAAAATCGTACAATGGGCTCATAAAATGGCGGCTTAAACGCTCGTTAAAAGCAGTGAAATTGAGGTAAGCACAAATTTGTATTTCATCGAGTGGTCTTTTAAAACAGTATTCTCACGAGTGGCTACGCCACTCGTGAGAATACTGTTTTTAAAGTTCACGAGATGAAATAAAATTACATCTTACACAACAAACAGACACATTTTCTTTTTATTTTATGCTTAAAAACAAATTAAAACGAAATTTCCATAATTTTAACGTTAATATCAAAACTGTTTCCCCCATTGAGAGCCCCATTTAGTCGGAATTTCTCATTAAAAACAAGTAGTCTTGTGCTGAAAAATAAGTCCGCCAATCAACATTAAATGACGGTGATATTTATTCATTTTATTAAAAAAATTTGAATTACCGCTTGTTTTAATAATAAAAACAAACAATTCTTGTAGGAGAAAAAGTGCAACCATCCATCCATATTTCTGTTACTTACTGCGAATTTATATTAGACCTGGCTTTGTAAATTGTAAGCGGCAGCCATTTTAAAGTTGTGTATTTCATTGGAGGAAAATAATTGTGTAAGATTCAGAGGGATATAATTTGGATTTGTTAGTCATACACCTTTTTAAAAGAAAGACAAATTATTTGAGGATTGTAACAGACAAAAAATAAGTGTTGACAGATGCGAAAACATTCAGAAAAGGAGCTAGGAAAATGAAAAACTTGGAAGCTTGCTCAAGAACGCTGGGTTGTTTTACTTATTCTTCGAGTGATGGCTGTCAATGCTTTTCAATTTTTCATAAAGCATACGGCAGTTATTGCTCGTAGGATACTTTAATATGCCCAAATATCATCAAGAGCAGTTTTGCATGGGGAAGGAATGTATTTTTCAGAATGTAAAAATGAAACAAAAAAAATTTAGAGACGAAATTTGGTGATTGGAATTTGAATGAATAGAAGTAAGTTTTCTTCTTTTTGATACTTTTGACATTTAAGGTATTCATCATTTTCAGCTTTGCTTTTTCTTTAAACAGCCTGACATTGTCAGAATTGTCAGCAAAAATAAAATTGAGGTACCACATGAGGAAAATCTTAAAAAAGTAGTTTCGTCATTAAAAAGAGTGAAATTATATTTTGATAATTTTCACTGTGAAATTACCAAATATAATTTTCACGAACAAATCAGTAATCCACTGAAAAGCATAAAATAAAAATGATAAATGCTTTCGTCCAAACTTGCTTTATTTAATGTGGACTGCAATGACTTGCAAAATATATAGTAACGCTACTAATATATCGAATCAACTATCAAAATAGTTATAATGGAATATGTCAGAAAATAGAGTTCAAGCGTTCTGTATATGTTGCCATTTATAAATCGATCTTATTTTGAGCATCATATTTATGAAATAAAATCATGAAAACAATGTGTTACAGGATCTTTAATAACTCTTGTGGCGTTTTATGTTAAACACTTACAGCCAGTTTAGTATATAACAAATTGATGAAACATAAGAAACTAGAAACTCATGATTTGACTAAACTATGAAAATTACACCATTTAACAGAACATGTTTTTAAATAATATTATTTTGTTTTAGTTTTTAGTCACGCCGACATTATAAAGTTCATATGGTAACTGTCTAGCTTTTAAGGTTGAGAAAGACGGCAGATGCCTCACAATGCATTTATTCAGCCTCGAGCGGGCACATAAGTAGAGCCACTGATTTTTCATAACCTATCGTCCACAGCGGTTAGATTGTGTTTAAATTATAATTTTGACACGATGTGGTATAATATATACATTTAAGTACATTTTTCCTTTAAATTTCGGTTTTCTGATTGTAAGAAAGGTAATGAAGGTGTCTGTTGAAGTTGTACCTTACCTATATCCAGGGGCGGGCCACCTAAAAAACAAAAATGAAATTCCAATATCATATAATTTTCTATGAATCATTCAAACTAAAGTATGCTGTACATATTTTATTTTCAACTTTCAAAAGCATTATTATTTGATAACAATTCATATCGTTGTGTCATTATTTATGTACAGTGCAGTGCAATACAAAAACGACTACGTTTATGCACACAAATTAGGGTGAATACATAGGATATTAAACAGTTCTTCGCTGATTTTAAAATTGTACCAACAACAAAATTGTATCACAGTGAAATTATTTAATAGAAATTATTTTTAACATTTATATTTATCATTATGATTACGAACAAAAGATTTTATATACAAAGTTAAATTCATATCAGACATCCACTGAATAATATCTTAATTTATTCTATAAAGAAGTATCCTTACATTGTTTTCTATATGTTTCTATCTTTCAATATATGTTGATAATCGTCAGATCCTGAAGGCAACGAATGTTTTCTGAAAGTTAAAAAAAACTTTCTTTAATAACTTGTTAAACATAATTGTAGATAAGGTTAAACAGAACAGAATAGAACAGAACATATCGTTTATTAGATTTTAGATTTAAACATAGTTTATCATCTATACATGCATAACATATAAAGGTCATGTGAAATAAATAATAAAATTAATATGAATATAAATATTATTTACGTAAATGAAGGTATGTGTTGACAAGCAAATTAATTAACTCATTAAACAGTCGGCAATAAATTTAAATATAGAGTTTATGAAAAGTAATTTTGTCGTAGCATATTTTCTCGAATTTTAAGTGCACATTTGATGAACATCACCAAATTTGACATTGTCTTGTGGTTCACAAATTTTAGCAGTTCAATTAGCTTAAACATACTTGGTCGAAGTGAAAAATATTCATTAATATATCGTTTTCTAATGACTCAGTATCTCGTACATTTAAGCATTAAGTGATATTCGTCCTCTATCTCGCCATTTTCACAAATTTGACACAGTCTATATTCTCTGTCTATTCTATTATTTCCATAACGCCCGGTTTCTATGCGTAAACAGTTCGCAGATGTTCTGAATCTTGTTATGAAAAGTCTCTGTGATTTGTTCAACAAGTCTAAATAAGGTTCATATTCGAAATTCTCTTTAACATGTTTATATACTAATAATACAGGTTTGCTATCGATATCACTTCTCCATTCCTGAAGAAAACAGTCAATCACTCTTTGTTTAAAACACGGAATCAAACTTTTACCGTCAATAATACTGTCCTGTATTTCCCAAAGATATCCATATCCATAGTTTTCTAATAAAACTTTTAACTTATATGCCCAGTTCTTTTTACCATGAATAGCATCATTAAACAGCTCCTTATAAACGTTTTTAATGATACAATTATTGGAATTTAAAACTTTAATCCAGAACTTGAATATCTTAACAAAACGATTTATATAAAGCGGATAGCGCCCTAACTCTCCATATACAGACACATTACTTACTGACATTTTAACATTAAGAAGTCTTTTACAAAACTTTAACTGCACTCGTTCAATTTCTTAAGCTTTTGAATTACCCCACACTTCTGCTGCATAACTTAATATAGATGTTACAAATGAGTCAAACAGCTGACATTGAACTTTAAGAGTAAAATCAAATTCACGGATATTATAGTTTAACAAATTCATAGCTTTCATTGCTTTACCAATTAACAATTGTTGATTACAGTTAAAATTACCATTTGAACCAAATACAGTTCCAAGATAATTAAATGTATCTACAATATCCAACGTTTTCCCGTTATACTCCCATTTCTCATCGTCTCTCAACGCACCTCTTCGTCTAAATACCATTATTTTTGTTTTCTCTTCATTAACCTTTAAACCCCCAACGATCACAGTAAATTCGTAGATTGTTTAAATGTGACTGCAAACCCTGCACTGTTTCAGACAGTAGAATCATATCATCAGCGTATAAAAGCAATATAAGTGTCAAGTCTGCTATATTTACACCAGATCTACTATCAATATTTGAACTTAAATACAATTCTAAATCTTCGATGAAAATTGACCACAGCAGAGGCGAACACATTTCTCCTTGCTTTAGGCCTACCGCTACTTCAATGAATTCAGAAAACGTATTACAGTGACGTACTTGACTTTTCACGTGCTCATACATCGACCTCACTACATGTTACATTTTTCCAGAAATTCCAGGGTTAAACATTTTGTACCAAAACGCGTTCCTATAAACGCTGTCGAAACATTTGCTCATATCAATGAACGCAGCATACAAACGAGAGCCATTTCCAAGAAATTTTTCTATTTATCCGTTTAAACAAAATATAGCATCAACTGTGGAAAACCCTTTTTTAAATCCAAACTGAGCGTCGGAAATAATATTATTTTTTTTCACACCATTCGGTTAAACGCTTATTTAACACAGATGTAAACAGCTTTGCTAAGACACTGATCAATGTTATTCCACGATAATTGTTCACATCATTTTCGTTTCCTTTTTTAAATAATGGAATAATTATACCTTCCGACCATTTATCCGGGAAAAAACCGGTATCAAATATAAGATTAAAAAGATCTGTTAAATGGCCTATTAATATATCCCCAGATTCAATGAACAATTCATTGATTAAGTTATCAGTAGAGCCTGCCTTTCCACGTTTTAAAGTTTTCAAAGCCGCTAAAACTTCTGTCTCTGATATAGTATTATCTAGTTCTAAGAAGATAGGATTATCCGAATTAATGTCTTCCGACGCAAACCGTTCGCTTTCAACATCAGTTGTGATATTAATTTCATTACTCAGATTTTTAAAATACTGGTAGAAATCACTTGTAGACAAGGAATTTCCGCGCATCCCTTCGTTTTTTAAAAAGTATTTCCAAAAACCTCGAGGCTTTTTCTTGAGCAAACCTTCTATCTCCTTTGATTTCGTGCTTTTATAAGCTAGTTTCTTACGATTTACGAGTCGCTTATATTCCCGTTTAAAAGTTAATAACTGATTCCTATTTTCATTACATTTATCTAGGTTGAAAACTTCTAGTGCTTTTAAATATATCCTCCGTTTATTCACACATTCATTATCGAACCATTCTGATGATTTTAAATGCCGATTTTGTGCAAATTTATGTTTCACCTTGTTATGATTTGAACGTGTTTCAAACAACGGCGCCGACGCACTATTTATTAAACGTGTAAATCCTGTGACAGTTTCATTCACATGTGCTTTATCATTTCCGGTCCTATTTTCAAATAATGCGTTAAAATGTGGAAGTGACACTATAATATTGCTTCTAAAGGCATCCCGTTTTTGAGAATTCCACTTTATTCTGGAATGACTATATTCATTTTCAACTTCCGGTTCCTTATACATAAGTGCGATGATGCTGAACTGTAACATAGCATGATCTGAAAACATGGTAAAATCACTTGTGCCGAATGTACCAATTCGCCCCAAGTTAGCCTGGTGACACAGTAAATAATCAATTGTTGAACAACCATTGTGCCCGTAAAATGTGAAGGAACTCTTATCTAAACGCCCATTGCAAATTAAAATAGTCTTGAGTTCTCTTTTCATAATAAAAACGGTAATTTCCCTTAAAGGCCAGACCAAATCGCTTGTGTTGTTATATGTTCATGTTTGTCTTTTGTTCTTTGTTATGGGTGATTGAACTTGTTTTGCAAGTTGAGTGATGGATGATTGATCTTGGTATGCAAGATATTTTAGCTGCTTTGGTTCTGGAATATAACATTTCTTAGTAACTCAGACCACTCCTTGTTTGACTCTCAAAGTAAAAAACACCTATAATGTTAGATTCCTTTCAGTTATTTCTTCATAGAAATACTTGGTAAATTATATCTTATATTCAAATATTTATTTAAATACGATTTCTTCTATTAAGAAGCCTGGTATGTATATATTTATCTATTTGTGAAATTGTTTAAGAGGAAATTGAATTGTTGTGTAATACATTGTATTATAACATAAAAACGTCTTTTTTCTTCTTTTGTCTATGTTATAACGGGACCTTAACCATGTGTTAACATAGTCACGCTCTCTTGTTATAGCGTAATACATACAGGGCCCAGTAAACAAACAAAGAATTGACAATTTGGCCTGTTTGCCAAAGAGTCATGCGCTATTTTTACATTGAAATTATTGATTTGAGGGTCTCACTCACATAACGGCGAGCATTATTCAAGTAACTATGCCGGAAATACGGGGTATAGACATCGCCGCTAATCTTGGTTGTCACCCTTTCTAAGAAAAGGACAGTTGTCAATAGAAAGAAATATCTGTTATCCAATTTAACCCTCCGATTATTGTCCAACAACATTGGCCTCTTTCTTTATTACTTCTTCTTAGAATCAAGATTTATGAAGTTTCTAAATTATATAGTTCACAAATTCCACGTTTAATAAAGCCGGTGCTAGGAAGCGTGGACGGTAGCTTGCATTTACTACTACCGTGCATGAGCAGACTCAATCAAACCAAGCCTGTAACATTTTCTATTTTGCTGTTATTGAATTTCTTAAGGGATTCTATTTCTCTCTTTTTTGTCAGTATTTGATTTTGGTAATTACATTTTAACTTCTCTTTTTCAAATGATATTATAGTGATTGCTATTATGTACCATGTTGTAATTTAAACGCAACAGAATTTATGCACATCTTTTTTTTTTATTAGTATTGCATGGAGTCGGACATATAAAGACTCGATACATTTTTAAGCGAGGTAAAATGGTACGATACGAAGTAAAGGCGGATTTTAGAATGTTAACACATATCAGGGTATAATTGTTAAAACATTAAGATTCATTTACTATCAAAAATTACAAATTTTGTGTTGATCTTGTGGGGCTCTGACCTTCACATTCAAAATTAAGAAGTTTCGTTTTATTGCCAGTTACTGATTTTGGTGTCGGTGAATTATCACAAGATCAAAATCCAATATCGTGAAAGTAAGTTGCTATTTCTACTAAGAACAACTTACGTACATAATCATTATTGAGTTGCCATAACAAAAGATATATAAGGTCGTCTTACTGTCCAGTTTTTAATGTTTAC